CCGTTTAAAGGGAAATTTGAAACCAGGAAGTATACATTGAGATTTGTCGCCATTATGCGATTGTGTCCTTGCCCCATTTAGCCTCGTTTTGGTACAGATATGAATATTCATGAGGCCTCATTAAGAATGATTATTTGTAAGTCAATTTAGTTTTTTAATGAGTAAGAAATGTCGTACATCTGTAACCGTTTATGCGAATGCTAAAAGATTAGGACCAATCGGTTCTCCTCCGAAATTCATGTCCTTTTATGTCCGCGATTTGGACGGTTTCCCTGCCAACCGACAGGTACGTAGATTACCATACAAAATAGAGTTACTTCCCCGGACGGAAGTTCATGTTGAACACGCGTTTGTTTAGAAATGGCGGCCACCACAGCACAACAGGCACAGAATATAATCGACGATAAAACATTAGTCGAAGAGGTAAGTTGACTGGCTGACTGTTGAACGACTAACTAAATATCTAATGAGCTATCTAAATATTAGACTTGAGGTTACACGTTCCTGAAGATACCTATCTAATATATAGAGAAGTTCTATATTTCGTAATGATGATGTGTGCTCAACTTTGACATTTTCACTTGAACTTAACCCCCTGGATGCCACAGGGACATATATGTCCTTCCCCTTCAACCCTCAATGTCAAGTCCAATTAAAATCAAAATATCCCACGCACACAAATACACTTCACAGTTTCGAATTCTGCGGGAAACTTCCTGTTTCTTGATACCATCCACTATTATTTTAGACAAAACTCAAGTGCTGAAAATGACCTTTCAAAATAGGCTTCATCGAAAATGTCGCCATTTTTGACACAGTACGAAATCGCGATTCACAGCGTTATTTGATGTATGTTTTGAAATGTGAAAATCGGATAATTACTGGGAGTACTGAATTTAAATAATAACATATTCATGAACACTGATATCACTTTTACCTGAAATCGCTAATGATAATTCTGAAACGTTGCCGATGAATCTAGAATCGGTTGGGATGTTTTCGAAAATACACTTACACGAACGCCGTAGAGCGCTTTCCGCCATATTAGATAGTGTTTACAAAATCACGTTTCGCGAAGGCCGGTATTGAGACGCCTATTACATCACGGATATTTCATATTCAGCTTCGAAAAATGCATCACTGAATTCCCATACATTTTAGAAACAAATTGCAACTGGTCTTTGTCACCAATACTAACTGTCCAGATAAAACGAGACGAAACATATTGGGTGTGAAAACGAACGCTGTGCTCGAAAGATTGCGCTGGTTCGAAATGTAAACAAAAAATTCCGATTTTACACTGCGTAGCATTTTCTGAAATTTTCCAACATTCATCCGTCTATTCATTGCTTGCAATGGCTCAATACCTTTTGAATATGCATGGAAAGAGTATCGTAGTAAGAAATAGGAAATTATAAATAGATACAATGCAATGATTTGATAATTCATAAGAAATTGTCAAAGTTTCCGTGCAGCGTGACGCCATGGCTGACGCAAAATCATGCAGAACGACAAGTGTAATTATCAGCATTTCTGGCTTCTTCTCTTACTTACAGTGAAAACGATAAAAACATATAACAATACGCAGATATTCAGAATCATTGTGATTACTTACATGTCATATTTATGTACAAACGATCACTGAATCAATGGAAGGGTCCTCGCAAAATCCTGTGTATCCTTGTCAGCAAAGCCGCCATTTTGTAAAAAATAGGTCATCGGTAGTGATGTCATACGTCAACATTGTTGTACATATTAGGCAATTTCTTTGAGGTGAAGGTCGGTTGAACAAAAGTAAACACAATCGCCCAATCCTTCCGATTACACTGTCAGTATTATGATGTATATTTCGCGGATAGTTCAGATACTTTTTCATGAAACTGACCTCAGTATCTACATTGAGCCTTGTCCAATATCATATCATACGTGCATATAGGGTTTACGGTGTTTTATTCTTTGAAAGTGTTTGATTGTTTGAATAATATTTACATAAGAAATTGACACATTTAGTGCAGTACACCATATTCTAAACCTTTACACAAGTGTTAGAAGATCAAACGTAGCCATAACTGCAATTACTTTAGTTCCTATGATGTACAATATTCAATGCATTTGAACTAATATTGGAGTTTCACATGAACAGGTTAATGAACGGCGATTTGATTAAACCTTATAAGTAAAACTGATAATATTTAATGAAAAGATTTATGCATGTTATGAAATGTATATGCACACACATTTAAATGAATTGTCTTGTTCTTTGCACATTTTTTGTGTCGATTTATAGAGAAAACAATGATGTATATTGATTGGCCGGGTGCGCGTTTGTCGAAAACGTTTTATGATTCACTATCATTGTTTTCGATAATATAATCAATTCATATTCGATTTAAAAATATTGTGATGACAGGATATCAAACTCTAACTATATTTATACGAAAATTGTTTAAAAATATATAAACCATGTCATGTCTTAATTTGGACAAATCTTACATCCATATTCTAATATATAGTACCTACTAGATCCGTATATCTTTTTTTGCATCTTCCATTGCATACTTATGAAGAGAAATAGCTACATAATCATAAATAAAGAAAATTCTTTTCCTAAACAAAATATTCGGGTGTTGTGAAATGTTATTTTTCATTTACGTTAAATTGATGCCAAACAGGTGCGCGTGTTGCTCATGATAAGATACACAGTCAAACTGTCTAATTGTTGATATATTCAGGACACTATTTAAATGGAAAAACCAGTCATTTTATGTTTTGTTTAAAGACTGTTAATTCTGAAAAAGAAGCCGAGACCTTTCACACAATTAATGGAAATTAGGTGAGATATATACTAATCAGCATACCAATGTCGTCTTTTTCCGACGTCGCAAAATGCACAAAACAAGCAATGACGTCAACTAAAATGTTGTATTATTTTCAGCAATTTAATTACATTTGAAGATATGGCTAGTACTCTGGTAATAACGATGCAAAATTAGTTAAAATACATCTACACAAACAGGAGAATATGGGAATCTAAGAACTAACTTATATATCGGATAGGGCCATCCAAATCGCTATCGCTACATGTAGTACGTTGTCATCTTTTCTTATAAATTGTGAAACTACCAAAGCGTATCCGCTCTTATTGGGGAACTTTGAATTGTAATAGTGTGGTTCACCGTGAACAAAAGATAACTAGAATATAGCGTCCGTATCCACAACAAATACTCTCCATGTGACCTGAGTTACATTGACCTAGTGTTAAGCATTACAGAGTTATGCCCCCTTACCATTATACGCGTATGACCTTCTCTGTCGTCGTTCGACGTCGTAGAAGAAAATCCATTTTGACATTTATTTCGAGTCATTTTTTATGTTGAGCGTAGAATGTTATAAGCACATAAATCCAATTCATATACACTTATGTCGTTCAGATATCAGGCTGTATTTTCTTCTCTCACACTTTCCGTAAAGATGCCAAAATAAAAAATTCGTAGCACAGTGCTTTTATCGGTGCGCGATAAAAAGCGGAGAAATTTACTGTTTTATAACGCATAACAGAAATTTGGACAACATCGAGCAAGGTCTATTTCTCAAACCACCGAGGTAGTTGCACTTATATTTATACCAACGGATTGGAAATTTAATATTCTATATTTCTGTGTAATTTTATAGCTGTACGTAGATCCAGGACCACGCGAGCGCAATTCTCGCACAACGTTCACTTTTCAAACCGCATTGCTCTTTGGGCACTGGAAAAACAGGAAACGGTGATTGTTGCTAGATTTTACTGTCGCTTCCTGTGAGATGAGATAACTAACTGAAGGAAGCGACAGTAAAATCTAGCAACAATCGCCGCTTCCTTCAGTTAGTTCTCTCACAACTGACAAAATGCGAAAATCCTAATGTCCCTCCCTGTTTGTGGCGTAATTGTGGCATAATTATCGACCTTTACATAATAATAATGTGAAGCAAACATGTTCCACATTCAATTATCTACAGTTTGGTACCTCGATAAACGACTGTGACATTTTTATGAACCCTATGAAAATGTGTCTTGGAGAAATTGACCAACTTGCAAGGGTGATAACTCCACAACTATTCAAGATATCGACATGCCTTGAGGAAGCTAAGTAGTCCAGAGTGTGGGCTTTACAACGATATATCAAACACGATTGTACTATATGCCGTTCAGGAGGAGGAGGAAAATTTCTTCTGATGCCCGAGTTATTTTATGCGTGGAACCGATGGAGAATGACGTTGTCTACATTGAATGAAAACTTGGTCAATTTATCTCTTATTGTTTTGGAGATATAGAGGTTGAAAGATTTTGAAATATTTTGACATTTTGGGTTATCTGCCCTTACCGGAAGCCGGAAGTTGAGATTTTTTCAACATTATATTAATTTCAGCATACAGGCTATCAACCCTGAAAGTTTCATGAAAATCGACTTTCGTCTGAAGACCTAATAAAATCTTACTCCAGACTGGGTTCATGTGAAAAAGTAAAATACATATCTGTTAAAAATAACACAAATAGGCCTGATTACATCGTTTTCTTTGAATTTTCTGAGGATGGTCAATTTTGCGTTGGCTTGAGGTGAGCTTCAGGACCTGGTCGGAGTCCAAATCAAGCTTTTTTATCTCTTAGGCTTGGAAGCTCTGAGAAAGTACCACATGCCAACCATGCACGATAACTATTTTTATTATGTAATCAAGTTATATCCAGTTTTCCAAAGCAATCATAAAACGGACTTGCCATAGAATGAAACTACATTAAGCATGAAACTTAATGTCAGAATTTGTTCACTTGTGGCCTTATAACTTCTATTTTCACTATCTTATATTTTCATTACAACCGAATATACGAATGTACCATCTCTATCTGCTCATACTTATCACATTCCGCTCTCGCAGGATAATTGCTACGGCGGGATAGTCATGAGATTGTCGTTGATAGACAGTGTTTTGGTGCCATTAGTCAACTATACTCTATTCAATAGCAGGACAATCCTATCAAGCATATGATGATGATACTGGGAACGACCATCCAGATTTGCAGTTTCTCAATCTGCTGAAACCAGTTGCACATTTCTCTGGCCTTGACTTTGACAGAGGAACCACAGGTATGTCATCATCTATTATACGTTGCATATAATTCAGTACATTTATTCAGTTAGTTATGTGCGTGTATGTTTCACCGACATAAGGAACAAATCAGAATATGTATATCCAACCTCGAAGTATAATTACGTATGCATTATCTAATACACAACTGTTTCAAACGCGATTTTGAACCAGGTCATGAAAAACAGTGAGAGAATGACTTTACGTTTACGTTGGTTTTAGCAATATTTCAGCAATATCACGGTGGGGGAAGGGGGGGGGGGGGGAGCCAGCCGGTCTTCTCGTAGCAATGAGGAATTGCTGAACCTGACCAAACCCCATGGCTTTAAAATATACTGAACCACAAAAGAAATGTCGCACTGATAGGGGTTTCTTAAAGCGTATAATAATAATCGTTATTTGCACTGAGAAGGCCACAGGCCTATAGTACATAAAGTTATGTTACATTTGAGAGGAATTTAGATCGGGTAATCATAGCATAGTAAATGAACATTGAAATATTTTGTAGAAGAACTGGATTTTTACTACTTAACAATGAGGAGAATTTTATCACATTTGGATGGACATAGTAGTATCTTTTAATATATTTTGTTCGCAACCGGTCATAAAATGGACATATTAGGAGAAAATGTAATTCATCTTCTATTTCGTTAAAATTACAAAGTGTACATATTCTATTTTCTCTTTTTACATTCATATATCTGCCTCTTTCAATCAACAAATCATGAGAAGAGCATCTGAATCGTGCCAGTGCTATTCTAAACTTTTTAACATTAACACAGGATAGATATGACTCAAGAACTATGGCATTTTTAAACAATGGATAATACATGCATTTATTTGATAAGGATATCCTTTCACTCCATGTTTGAATATACATATCTTTTAATCTTGTCGTTAAGGATTGTATGAATAACGTAGGTGATTCGACATATTATTGTATTCCATGTAATTCCAAAACCAATAGAATATAAAAGTGTTTTACATTAGTTGCCCAGTTTTTGTCCACCTTTATCATATAACAACATCATATTATAACACTTCTTGGGTAAGCGATTCGAAGGCATAATCAGCAGTTTTAGCCAGTACTTAATAACTTTCATGCTTGTAAGAATGTGCATTGGGTACCTACCGCATTCACCATAAATCACTGCGTTAATAGTGTTAATTTTAACTCCGAGGAACTTTTTGCATGCGTATAAATGGATTTTTCAATTTCGTCAAATTTTGTTATTCCCCAAATTTCGGCCCCATATGATAAAATTGGACTGACCTTGGCATCAAATATTTTAAAGAATGAAGAGTAGTTAATATTACCAAGTACACTCAACTGTTTCATAATTCCAATTAATGCTTTTGTCCCTGTAACGCTGCATATTTTACATGCCTCGTCCATGACAGGCCACTGGTGAAATATAGTCCCAAATATTTATAAAGCCAATACACTCGAGCTGCATACCTTTATATAACCAGTTTTCCTTTTTGACAATTTGCCTCCATTTTTTTGAATACAACAATTTTCGTTTTATCTCTATTTACAGTTAATTTCCATTTATCGCAGTAATTTTCAAGTTCATTAATTTGATTCTGTAAGCCATTAATCGTGCTTGAGAACAAAACAATGTCATCTGCAAATAGCAATAGGAAAATATGGACTATATCAGGGTGGAGTTGAATCCCGTGTACACAATTAGTTTCAATTTGTCGTGCTAACTCATTTATAAAAAAAGGAAAATAGAAATGGGCTTAGTATACAGCCTTGTCTCACACCAAGTTGCAAGTCGAATGTTTCTGAATAATTATGATTACTTTTAATGCAAGACTTGACATTTTCATACATATTGCATAAAAGTTTACTCATTTTACCACTGAGACCGTGGGTATTAAATAGAAGCCAAACTTTTTTTCGTTGTATTGAATCGAAAGCTTTTGAAAAATCTACAAATAATGCGTAGAATTTCCCCCCTTTAGAGTTTAAATACCTTTGAATAATACTTTGCAGTATAAACATATTATCTACTGTCGTATATCCCTGTCTGAAGCCAGCTTGCGCTTCGCTGATCTTATCCATTGAGTCTCCCCAGTTTACAAGTCTTTTATTTATTATAAAGGTGAAAGTTTTACTAAATATGCTCAGTAGTGTTATGCCTCTGTAATTATTTGGATTATTTATATTACCTTGTTTATGGATAGGAACTATTATGCCAATTGCCCAACATCTGGGGAACGTACCAGTTTCTAATATCAAATTAAAAAGCAATTCTAAGTACGGGACGATAAGATCTGCTGAGTATTTAAAAAATTCAGATATCGTTTTATCAATTCCTGGTGATTTATTGCATTTCAATTGGTTAATGCTATCTAAGATTTCACCTCTAGTAATTGGGAATCAAGTATTACCGTGGTAAGCTCTGAATTCGGATCTGATGGGTTTTCATTCTCGAAATTATCACATGTTACATCGTCATTTTCATTATGTAAAGAGTTAAACAGTGTCCGAAAGTGTTCTAGCCAGTCGTTCATTTCGATGTTGTTTTGAGCTTCATGTCTAGTATTCAGGTGTTTGAGTTCATACCAAAATTGTTTTGAATCAGATATACTGTTTTCTATTACTCTCTGCTTCTCTTTATAATAATTAAGGCGTTTTTCCTTACAAATTGAGTTATATTTATTTCTTTTAGCGCAATATTGATCGTATGATTCTTTATCTTTCGATTTCCTAAACTTATTCAGAGCTCTACATCGGTCTGATTTTAATCTTTCACATTCAGAGTCGAACCATTTATTAGTTGTTGTTGTGGGAGGGCTAACTGTTTTCTTCATGCAAGAGGCGGACAGACAGAGTGCCTCGGTCATATAGCTTATACTATCATCAATATTAGCGAGAGCACAGTCAATCGATTTATCTAGTAATTTTTGTACGTTATCTGACAAAATAGTTTCTCTAAACTGTTCTAATTTATCGTTATCCCAAATGAACTTAAACCACTTATTCCTACATTTGGTAGAAGTGTTGGATTGCTCAAGTTGTACTGTTTTTAGTTTAAATGTGGTGGGAAGATGATCAGATTCAGTTCTCATTTGTATGCTAAAATCTAGAATATAGTCAAACATTGTTGATGAAGAAATGATATAGTCAATAACACTGGTGCCAGTTGGACCAAGAAAAGTAAAGTCTCCAACTTCTGTGTCACTTCCACATCGGCCATTTAGTATATGAATGTTAAAAACAAAGCACATGTCAAGAAATGTTTTACCAAAGTTTCTTAAAGCACACACTTTAATTCACTCTAATTAACAATCAAAACGGAGGACTGAGTTCAAACTTGACAAGTATGGTTAACACATTTTCGTGAAACACATTTAGAGTTCACACAAACAAAAACACCAAAAATGGTACCATTAAGATACCCCAAAGTCAGTATCGTGTGTGGCCTCTATGGGCATCGATCAAATCGTTGCATCGTCTGTACATGGAATGTATTAGCCGGTCGATGAAGGTCATACGCACTTGGGTCCATACTCTGCGAAATGCCTGATCGGGTCCAGCCGTAGTTGTCGGCCTTGGTTGGAGGCCATTCAGTCTTCTTTGAATCCTGTCCCAAAGATGTTCTACTGGACCTAAATTCGGACTGAGTGCAAGATTTTGTAGGGTTTGGATGCCATGCTATCGTAGGAAGTATAATGTTGCTCTGGCAGTGTGGGCACGAGCATTGTCTTGCTGGAAGATGTGATTTCTGTAACGGCCAAAGTGTGGTACAACGTGGGGGTCTTATGACTTGGTCAATGTATCGAGCAGCTGTCATGTCATTCTGGACCAAGATTCTGGAACACCACGGTGTCAACTAACTGGTTCAGACCGATTGCACCCCACACTATGATGCTTGGACCACGCCACGAGTCTCTTTCAACAATACACTCATTGGAAAACATTCCACCACACCGTCGCCATACTCTCACTCTGCCATCGACTGTCGAAACACAATATCGGCTTTCATGAGATAACAGCACTGTTCTCCATTGTCGATAACGCCAATTTCGATGCTGAGTTGCCCATTTTGGTCCGTTTGGGCGGCGATGAGCAGTGAGGACAGGACTACGATATGATCTGTGACAGTTTCTTCCGCGCAAACGCCCACGCACTGTATCGGCACTGATGGGTCTGTTGTGAGTCCCAATGGTCTGCCGTGCTGTTTCCCTCGCTTTGGGGAAGCGATCCTGCAGATGGTTGCGCACAATCTGTCGGTCTTGTCGTTGTGATATTACTGAAGGTTGCCCACTGCGTGGACAGTCTTGGATGCTGTTAGTGACCTGATACCACTCCTGCAGTTGGTAGATTGTCCTAACATGAACATTAAAATGATTGGCTACCCTCCGTGCAGTCTTGACAACTTACAACTTGGTTCCTCTGATCTGTTATTGACTATATCATTTCTTCATCAGCAATGTTTGACTATATTTCTAGATTTTATATTGATGAACTGAATCTGATCATCTTCCCACCACATTTACGGCTAAAACGAACACGACTGACGTGCCACTTCACAAATGTAGGGAATGAAGTGGTTTAAAGTTCATTTGGGATAACGATGCAATTAGAACGGTTTAGAAGCTGTAGAGATAACGTACAAAAATTGCTGAATGATGTTGACTGTGCTCTCGCTAATATTGATGATAGGTATAAGCTATATGACCGGGAGCACTCTGTCTGTCCATACTCTTGCATGAAAACAGTTAGCCCTCCCACAACAACAGCTAATAAATGGTTCGAAATACAGATGAAAGATTAAAATCAGACCGATGTAGAGCTCTGAATAAGTTTAGAAATCGAAGATAAAGAATCATACGATCAATATTGCGCTAAAAGTAAATATAACTCAATTTGTGGGAAAACGCTTAATTATTATAGAAGCGAGAGGTAATAGAAACGGTATATCTGATTCAAAACAATTTTGAGTATGAACTCAAACACCTGAATACTAGACATGAAGCTCAAAGGAAACAACATCAGAATGGACGACTGGCTAAGAACACTTTCGGACTGCTGTTTAACTCTTTACCGCATAATGAAAATGACGATGTAACATGTGATAATTTCGAGGAATGAAAACCCATCAGATCCGAATTCAGGAGCTTACCACGGTAATCTTGATTCCCCAGTACTAGAGGGTGAAATCTTAGATAGCATTAACCAATTGAAATACAATAAATCCTGGGAATTGATAAAACGATATCT